GGAGGCAGGGATAGGAGATGATGTGATGAGCAAATCCTGATGTCAAGTAGAATAGAACCCATAAGGTACATGTTGCAGTGGGGAAAAGTCAAAATGAGTAACAAGTGTCACCAAAAAAAGGAGTGAAGACTCCAAGGTGTCCACTGAAAGCTGACCCCTGGGAATGAAATTGTCCTGGCACTAAAGGAGTTGTCCTAGCAAAGAAGAAAAGGGAAGGTAACAAGATGTTCGGCATCAGCCCAGGCACTAAGTAGCTCTTTCTCTGGTCTTGGGACTTTCTGGGCATCCTGCAGCACAATGCAAGGGAGGAAGGCAAGGAGCAGAGAGCAGCTCCTGCAGAGAGGACCCATCCCAAAGCAGAGGGGCCAGAAGGGCCCTCAGCAGCACTGTGGGAGCTGGCACTAGGAGCCCTTCATCAAGGTGGACATTGCCTCAGGCCACAGAGGTCTGAGAAAGCAGCTTTCACCCCAGCTTTCCTTCCCAGGGGAAACCCCTGTGGGGGCTATGCAGCACCGAACTGCTGGAAAACCTATTCCCTGAGCATCCAGCCTGACCACGGCTGGTCGGTGTTATTTGCCAGGTGTTGTGGTTTGACACAGAAAAGAAGTTTCTCGGGAAGAAGTGGGTTAGGTTAATTAGTAGTCAAGGTTAGATATTAGTGTTTGGTCTGACTACTGAAGGTTAGACACACTTCTGAGAACACAGAGGGGTTAAAAGCCGAACTCCGAGGGGAACTAGCTCTCCTTAGTTGCAGTCATCAGAGAGTGCAGATTCTCTCCTGCCCAGCCCGTGGCTGGGTGCGGGAGGGGAAGAAAGCCATGCGGCCTGGCTGAGCCCTTGAGGTAGGCTGAAGGGTGGGTGGACCGGAACCGGCTCTGGCTCCCTGCAGATAGAAGGGTGGAGGAATCTGGGATGTTTGCGTTTCCTCCCAGAGTCTCTCTGGAGACAAAGAGACAGTGACAGTGCTGATAGTACTCTGGCAGAGGAGGAAAGGGGGGCAAGGTGCTCAGTGTAAAAACTAGAAGTCTAGGCAGAGAGCCCGGTGTCTGGGGAATTTGTGACTTTTAACCCTTCCTTAAGAAATGAAAGCTTTGTGAAATATTACTCCTCCTCAGTTTAAAAGAGAAGAAGAATGAAGGTCTCATTTCAGCCTGAGACCTCTGATGTTAAGAAAAAAAATTGGGCGGGGAAGATGATGGAGTAGCTTTTAGCTAGACTTTCTCTTGTTAACCATAAACTGAAACAATTTCTCCTCTAAGAGAGACTGTATTTTAAGAAGATGCACAGTGAGCCAAGAGACCTGCTTCAACAGCTGAGAAAAAGACAAGAGTAGAGTGAACAGTGAAAAGTTAAGGAGGGTTGTAGTGATGCCCCCTGTCTTCAGAAAAGAAGAAAAAGGAACATCTCTGTTCTTAGACATTCTGCCTCAGGGGGAAATGGGGAGGACTGCGGTCCCAAAAATGAAAAACTAAACTGTTGGGTTTTTTTCCTCTTAGCAAAGCATCCTTAAAAAGAAAAATCCTAAGAGCAATCTATCCATGCACTGTGGTGAGAGCACTGTGCATGGCAAAGTGTCACCATAGCAGATGTGGCAACTGTGTTTCTTAAAGAGTCTATAGCACAAGAAAGACTCCTCTCTCCCTCAATAAACTAAGTACTAATTATCTAAACAGTAAAGACCTGATTAAAAGTCCAAGTTGTGTCTCACTATAATTTGTTAGAATTGTGGGGGGAGGAGAAAGAATGTTTTAGCAAGTTTTCATTTTAGTTTTAGTGTATGTTTTTTCTTTCTTTTTCCTTTTATAGCAGTAGTTTAATAAAGTTTCTCCCTTATTATTAATCTTAAATCTACTCTGCTCTGTTCCTGATCATATCTCACAACAATAATTCACAGAGTTACATTTTCATGAGAGTGCTAACATTGTGCCAGTGTAAAACCATGACACATGATCCTAGGCCACCAGCTTTGTTCTTTGCAAAGTACCAACGGGACACCAGCAAGAAGAGCTTCAGGGAGAGGACAAAGGTGCACACACCTCAACTTGTTCACCTGGCTGTCCGAATGGAATGTCCAGTGATACTTGACAGGAAATGGGCTGCAGCTGGTGATCTCCAGAGAACGCACTTCTTCAGTGCCAGCCACGATGCAGCCAAACTCCAGGGTGCTGGGCTGGATTTGGAGATTTGGGAAGAGGACTTCTCCCTGAAGGGTGATATGCTCCACAAAAGGATGGCCCCTGACCATGCCTGTCTTCAGAACCTTGTTTGTTTTCCAGCTGTTAAAACCCAGTTTGTAAGCTGGGTCAAACGCGATGTAGAGATGACAGGTCTCCCCTACATCCACTGTCACAGGCTGCAAGGACACAAACAGTAATTAATCACCTGTGGGATGATGTCCCAAGGTCTTGACAGCATGAAACAGCAAATGCTCAAAGTGTGACCCCAGCATGGACTTCTCAGTTGATGGTTCATTTCTTTACAGCAGGGGTCTGACTTCAGGCACCACAGTCTAGTCCAGGATTCCCTCAGGCCCACGTTTCTGTGCTCAGCCCCAATACAAGGGGGTGGCTGCTGCAGGCTGGCATGCTTTCCAGGAGACACCTTTACTGCATGGCTTGCCTGCTCCCTTCTCCCTGTACCTTAAAGCCAGGATGGATCTTCTCAGTTCAGGTAATTTTGATTCCTTCAGCAGCTCCGCTGATGCAGCTCAGGCCAGCTCACTGCTGATGCTGCAGAATAAACTTCTTGACTCACTTGACTCAAGGAGCTCCCAACAGAAAGGCACCACCACATCCCTCCTCTTCAGACCCCACTGCAGGAGTCCAGGGCTGCTCACCTGGCCATCTGGGAGGGGCTGCTGGTCCTCATCACAGACCAGGAACGGCTGCTCCACATCCAGCATAAGGTCCAGGGGCAGCAGGCAGGTGTTTTTTAAAGACAAATGCTGGTACTGCCGAGTCAGGACATCACTGGGTTTCTATGGAAATAGGAGACAAGGAAAAACAGTCTCAACCAACCACAGACCTCCTCCAGCTTCTGCTGCATCTCACAAGTTTCAGCCCCAGAAATGCATACATTTCTATTTACCCTTTCTATTTGTTTCTACCCTTCCTCCCATGAGGTTTTTCTTTATAGCAGATGCTTGTCATCTTTAGAAACCACAGCATCCTCTGGGGGACAGGGAAACACACCCACATACAGATGAGGGAACTGGCCCCTGAGAGGAGGCAGCTGCTTGAACAA